TACTTTGGCATATTTAACATTTGGTACTGTGTGCTTTGAGCAATGAGCATTATTATTGGACAATCAAATGCCACCTCCCACAGCGAATCAAGGCTCAGCCGTGCTGGCAGAACTAACCACAGGCAAACACGATCCTATCTAGTGTTTTTTCTAGTCTCTGTCCTCCATCTAGGCATCACATCCTACCACCCATAGTACCATACGAATTCGTAATAAAGAGTTGGAAGTAGGAATGCCATAGAGTATGAACTATGAAGTACTATGGATATATTTTCCCAGTGATGAAATTGTCACTAATACTGTGTGAGCATCTCCTGAAGATGTCTCCGACACCGATGCTTCCCGGCCAAGAAGGCAGAAGCCCAGGAGGCCCAACCCTCGGTACTCTGGAGAAGAATGGGCCAGAGTGAGTGTTAAGCTTGCATCTGTGAGCGAGGCACCCGCCTCTGTATTCTTAAGGAGATGAGAGAGAGTAAGAGAGGCATCAAATTGTAAACCTGAATCCGTTGTTGTTCTAAACTAAGCACTTTCGTCATACGTCACACTGTTCTTCTTCTTCCCTCCTGCCCGTGCTCTCCAATCCTCTCCTGATTCCTCCCAATCCCTCTGCTATCTCTCTCACAAGTGGTATAGAGACACGGTCCTCGGCCACCGATCGATTCGTCGTCTGGGCACCTTAATCCATCGATTGCTAGAACTCCTTTGGATTTGGTTGGTCTAACCCGAATCGATCAAGTGAGCTGCAGTTCAATTTAGAGTTCCGTAATTCCAATCCAGTCATGATTTGTGGCGTCTTGCCCTTGATCTGGATCTGCCTCCCTTTCCACCTGATCACTACACCATCTTCAAGCGCCCCATGGTGCCATGGGTCCCGACCGGAAAGCTGCTGGCGCTAAGCTCGACAAGCGCTTCGCCGCCCGGAGAGAAGCGATTCGGTGGCTGGAGGCGAGCTTCGATTCAACAACGGCGTCGCCTTCCACCGTCTGGATGCCTTGGAGTCTGCAGCCAAAGGTGTTAGAAGCGAATGGCGCCACTGGTCGACGGCGTCATCAACGACCTTCGCATCGGTCAACAAGCTCCGCAACCTTTGAAGCTCGAAGTTGGGAAGATCTCCAAGTACATGGAATGCTCGATGGTGGGCCGGCCCATCAGCGACTCGGGGTGTTAGCGACGCGCCCGTCACCAAGTCTGCGTCGGCTCAGCGTCGCCATGCGTGTCGATCCACGGCGCCAAGCCGTCGTCCTCCGAACTTCAAGTCCCATGGCCCGGCGACTTCAAGGCGCCCCGCGCCCCTGCGAGATCTGCGACCACTCGGCCCAACAGGCACCACGTCGAAATCGGGAACCGGGAAGGTGGTCGGATGGTCACCACTCTGATTCCACCTTCCGGCGAAGATACGTTCCTTGCCATCCTCCTTCCCCTCATCCAGTTACCATGTCATTCTCCGCCCACCACCACCACATCAACCACAGCCACACCCAGGGAGGTCATTACGAGTCAAGCCATTAGGGGGGCTCAGGGGGCGGCCATGCAACAAGCTTCCCAAGTTTGATTTCCCTCGATTCGGGGAATCATCAAAACTATGGGTTAAACAAGCCATCCATTACTTTGGGCTGTATCGTGTCGAGTCCGCTGTGGCGGGTTCAGGCTGCCACTATGCATTTCCATGGCAACGCCAAACGTTGGCTGTCTTCGGTGGAAAGATCAGCTCTAGGCCATCACTTGGTCTGATTTATGTTCTCGAGTTGCTGTCGCAGCACGGATGATAATAATAACTGGCGCAGCTAACTAGCAATGGCGCGCACCTGATGCAAAGACCTTAACTCCGGCGCGATGCGCCCTCTTGGACCCTCTCCTTGGAAGTCCCCCCAGTAGACCTGCAGCACGGCGAGCTTCTCCTCCAGGACGACCCTGAGGTTCTCCTCGTGCGGGAAGAGCCAGCACGATGGCCGCCCCGAACAGCTTGGACGTGAGGCTCCTGGTCTTCCGGATCAGCTCTCTGACATGATCCGGCGCCGGCTGCAGTCAGCAACAAACAACGAAGCGGTTGATCTCAGCTCAGCGAGGACAGCACAGGAAGCAAACTACTGCTGGCAATTAATTAATTAATTAAAGGGTACTGAGACGCAGAGGAGGCGGTACCTACCCAGTCAGGGAGGCGGAGGAGTCCGATGGCGCCGGCGTTGGCGACTGCGGCGACGAGCTCAGGGCCGGAGATGTCGGGGCCGAGCGGCGCCTGCACGATGCCGTAGTCGAAGCCCAGGATGCCCCTCCACCCGGAGGCCATCGCCATCTAGCTCTCCAGAGCACGCAGGCAGAAGCGAACTTCCTTCAACAGTCCACAGCCGGCAGCCGCCGATCCCTCCACGGCAGGAGGTGGGGAGGGTTTAAAGTAGGCGCGGTGCCGTGGGGCCGCACCTCGGCGGTAGGTCTGTGTAGCTCGCGGAGCCGAGACAGGACGGAAGCTGCGCTGCGGAGGTCCGTCCACGCCGCGCGGCGTCATGGGGAGGGACGTCAAGGCGCCGCTGCGCGCCGCCGCTTCGGGGTCACGTGGCGAAATCGAACCAGAGAGTTGGAGTGGAGAGGGCCACAACCCAGCAGTAAAATTGGAAGTGGATTTGCGTCATGTTCGGCTCGTAGGTAAGCCGGCTGGTTTCGACTGAGGAAAAATAAGCTGAAATAAGCCTTGTTTAGTCCTTGTTTAGTTCGCGAAATTTGGATTTTGGGGCTATTGTAACATATTTGTTTTTATTTGGCAAATAGTATTTAAACATGGACTAATTAGGCTCAAACGCGTTAATCTCGCAATTTCCGCACCAAGCGTGCGATTAGTTTTTTCTTTAACTCTACATTTAATGCCACATATACATGACCGCAAATATTATTCGATGTAATGAGTGCTGGTAGCAACTTTTTGGAAGTTGAGGTGGAACTAAACAAAGCGTTAGTTGGAGAAATTTGGATTTCGGGAAGCTCTTTGTAGCATATTCGTTTTATTTGGCAAATAGTGTTCAAACATAGACTAATTAGGCTCAAAGCGTTAGTCTCGCAATTTCCCACCAAACTGTATAATTAGTTTTCTTTTAGTCTATATTTAATGATCCATACAAGGCCCAAACATTCGATGTGATAGGTACTGTAACAACTTTTTAGAAGTTAAAGTGGAACTAAATAAAGGCTAAGTTTAAGGGAACAGGGCATTGGTTTCTGCCTAGACTAGACTGCCACGGAGGATACGGAGCAGTATAGATCAGGATCAGCAGTCCTCTGTCTTCTTCCACAGCAATCACAGCAGAGGTGACTGTGATTGGTCTCCCCACATTCCAGGAGACGGCAGGTCCAGGTCCAGTTTCACGTCTTGTTTAGATGCCATTCCAAATTCTAAGTTTTTCACTGCATCTTCATCACATCAATTTTTGGCCGTTTTGCATAGAGTATTAAATGTAGGTAAAAAATAACTAATTACACAGTTTAGTTGAAAATCACGAGATGAATCTTTTGAAACCTAGTTGATCCACGATTGGATAATATTTACCAAATAAAAGCGAAAGTGGTACTATTCATCGAGATCTTTTTTTCAAAGTGAACGAGGCCTCGGTTAGAATTTGAATTGAATTTGTCACCTCACGCACGTAAAATTCAACACCAACACATTGCCTCGAATGAGTTGAGTTGAGAGGACATTTGCCTTCTTCGTCCTCCCTCAGTCTAGGAAAAAATACAATTACAGGATCCGTACCAGTTAAGGTAACTCAAATTTTGACCGAGTTCATAGTTATATTAGCATTTATATCTCTAAACAAAATTTATTATGAAAATATATTCTATAACTAATCTAACGGTAATTATTTTATATCGTTAATGATGATATTTTTTATATAAATTTAGTCAATGTTCAAATTGTTTGACTTCTTGAAAAGCGAAATTACGTTCTTTCTGAGCGAAAGTGTTGTGGGGGTATTAACCCCTATACCCTTATGGCTAAGCTTGGGCCGGCCGGATCGATGGGTTCGGTCCACCAAAAACGACGTCTTGCCCGGTTAACTGATCGGAGTCCGTGCAAGGAGTCAAAGGCGGATTTGGCGATCAATCAAGATCCTAGTCGGTTAGAATAGGAATTCTTATCCGACCACATATGGCAATTATAATGGCTAGGATTAGTTTCTAGATCTGTAACCACCTTTAAACTATATAAAATGCGGCGGGGACCCCTCTAAAAACATCTCTCATTGACATACTGACAATACAAATCGGGGCGGGGCGTAGGTATTACGCCTTCTTGGCGGCCGAACTGGATAAAACCTTGTATATGTCTTTGCGTCACCGTCTTGTTTGTAGCTTGCGCATCTGTCTGCCGACAATCTACTACCTTGTGTATACCCCTAGGTAGACTGCCGACCATATTTAAATCGACGGTGGCGGCGCGCCCGAGTAGGGGTGTCGCGTCTTTGCTTCCCAAGCAAACAAGATGGTCATCATCTCGGCTCCATGGCTTTCGCCGAAAACGGCCTCATGTTCACCGTTGGCGAGATCACACGGACCACCGGCTCCGGCGACTTCATCGCCATGACCGGGAGGCGTGGATTCGATCTGTGTCGACCACGCGCTTCACCTACGCCGGCTCGGCTCGACCCACGGTGGATCTGGCTCCGACCACGGTGGACACGGCTCCGACCACGATGGATGCGGCTCCGACCACGATGGATCGGCTCCAACCACGGTACATCCGGCTCCGACCACGCTGCATCACCTTCACCCACGCCGACAACTTTTCGTCATCCGCTTCCCGCTACAAAGGGAGGCGGATCGACAACACCGACCTGCTCGACTCCATCGATCGGGTTGGCACCAAGCTCAGCTTGAAACCCTAGCTACGGTAAAATGCGATTCAAAATCGACCTAATGGCGAGTAACGCTCCCCAGCAGATCTACCCGACCAGCTTGGACCGGTCGTCTGCACAACTTGATACAGATCTCGTGGTCACATCTACTCCTCAAGGGCGCTCTGCTCGTCGCCGGCCAGCCTTCGCGACGGGTCTCGGCTCTCAAAGTCTGAAGCCTCGACGGAGAACTACCGAGTCCACCCTATGGCTGCAAAAGCAGCGCCTCTAGCTTCGCCTCGACACCTGCTTGCCCGCTTGGATCATGTCTTATGCACCGACCTCGGTGAAAGCCGCGCGACCGTCAACATGATCCAGTTGAAGATTATCAAGAAGGATCCGTTCACCACTGATCAAGAGGCGACCCGGCTCCTCGTCGGCGGCACGCATCTAATGCATCTGTCCACACCGAGCTTGACATCACGAAGATGAAGGCGTCAAATGCGATCTGGATATCCCGGACCACGCCGGGGTTCTCACAATTCTCGTCTTTCCCGCCAAGACGAGGGATCGATCCATGTTGTCGACAATGACGAACCGCCCGGCGATTGGCGAAAGCAGAACAAGAAAGGGCTGCCGCGAAGCACGCAATATTGACCGGTTTAATCGCCGACAAATCAAAGCCGAAGCGGAACCGGGAGGCCTGACGCGCAAGGGTCCAGCCCATGTGACCTCAGCGATGCTTTCGATAGGGTGGGGACAAAGCAGGTCTTGAAACTCAAGTGCCAATGTAGCCGTCGCCATGGCAACAATGCAGCGGCTACCCAACACCGGAAACCCAGCGATTCGCGATGAAATACAAGCCTATCGGCGGCTGCTATGGCCCAGACCACGGAGATTGTAAACCAAGCTCGGGCTCCATCCGTCTCGGTCGAGTCAAGCCACGGCCGCCCGGCACCCAAATCGCTCACGTAGCCCAACCAACGTGGCTCGCGCGCAACAACGACCCATCGGACAACCGTCAAGAAGAAGCGGTGGCCATGATGGTGGCGGGGCGACAACCACGGCCGGGACAACCGCGACAATCGCCGCGATAACCCGCGGTCGCGCGAGGCTAATCCGGATGGCAATCGAGATCGCCCGCGATGGCAATAACGATCTCCGCCATTACCTCGGTGGGCGCGATCTGCGCTTCGCATCAACCGAGAGCGACGATCGGCGTCCCACGAAAGTTATCGCCGTATGGAATATGACCTTTGCCCACGGCCCGCGGGTTTGAAGCGATTTACTCCACACCTTCGCCAAGTCATATGGCCCAAAATTTCAAGCTCGAGAAGCTTGAGAAATGCGACGGCAAGGAAAACCCGAATTATGGGTCATGCTTTACGAGGCTGCGTCTGCGATCAGCCATGGCGGACGAGCAAGTCATGTCTAACTATTTCCCGATCATTTGTTGGCCATGCGGGTCACCAATGGCTGGTCGACTTCTTGGCGAACTATTTCGACTCTTGGCGGGAGCTCAAGCAAGCCTTCATCGACAACTTCATTGCTACTTGTGAACAACCGGGCAACAAATCGATCTGCAGCGTATTCGAGATCGAAAAGATGAGCCATTGTCTGAAATACATCCGGCGTTTCTTGGAGATGCGCATCAAGGTCCCATCAATCTCGACAACGAGGCAATCGAGGCTTTCATCAACGGCCTCCGCTTCCATGATGCCCTAAGGGACAAGCTCCTCCGTAAAAAGACTGATTCGGTCCACGGCGCTCACAGCCACCAGCTAAGAAATCTGCGGCGCGCCAAGCGGCGCTAAAAGATAATTATTGAAGAAGCGACAAGGGTTCAGCGCTCCGACCACCCCCACACCGCGACGACTACTGCGGCAACCGTGGTCGGACGACAATTTTGACCGCCGCAACCCGGTATAGCGACTCCGTGACCACCGTGACCAGCGTAATCGGTAGCGTAACCGCCGTGACGATTCGAGAACAAGCGTGCTCGGGAAGGCGGCGGCGAGTCAACACCATTAAAAAGGGTGGCGGACGTCGTAACTATGAAGACGACTACGCCAAGGCATTGAAGGGCCTGCCGCTCCATCCTAAGTCGAACCATACCATGGAGAATTGTCGCGTCCTCAAGTCTATCTACACGCGTCAACAAGCTCGGGATCGTCCGACAAGCCCTAACGGCGTGGGGAACAGCGCCGCGAGGATAACGGCGGCGGCGATGCGGACCCCGTCACAAGTATGTCAAGCCAACCGATCGCGTGCACACCATCGCCGGAGGCAAAGTGTCCATCGAGACCAAGCGAGCATGCAAGCTGCTCGCGCTTGCTTGCTTGAGCGTAACCACACCGACAATCTCCTCACCGATCCGCGGCTCCTCAAAGTGGTCTCACCGCGAAATCTCCTTTAGTAGAAAGGACCAATGGCGCGTAATACGAGCGAGGCATTTTCCCTGGTCCTC